AAAAATTTAAGTACAAATGAAATAACTTTTTTGAGTGATAACTGCCAAAACAACTCATTGCGAGGTCTGCTGTGGCAGAAGAAAACCAACAGCAATTTTCAGAATATTGTGCACCTTTAAATTCACTACGATCAATGAGTGCAAAAGGCAAAAGAAATTGGATTAAAAATCACTACAACAAATGTTACTTTTTACGGCACGCATTTACGGCGTGCATATAAGGCATGCCATAAAAAAATACTATTCACGGCATGCCTTAAATGCACGCCGTAATTATTCAGTTACTAAAAGTATTTACGGCATACATTGATGACATACCGTAAAAAGTGAACTTTTACGGCACACATTGATTGCACGCCGTAAAAAACCAAACTAGATTATTTACGGCATGTATTTGTGCACGCTGTAAAAAATGAAAAAAAAATATTATTTTTCCTTCTTCAACCCATTACTATTTACAATTTTTTTCTTTTATTTTCCCTTTCTTTCTGGTTTCTTCACGTTTTCTTTCTTCTTCCTCCTTGCATTTTCATTTCATTCTTCCGCTGCATCCTCTCACTCTCAGTCTCTCTTTCGACTCTCAGACTCTCTCCGACTTCGAGTCTTCGACCTTTCCTCCCTCCTCGGCTGCGTGTCCCGTGACCGTCGGCATCTCTCTTTCCCCCTTTGCCATCTCCGATTCATGGAATATAGTCTCCAAAGTTTGCACTTTGTGCCTTGAGTTGTTGAGTTCATCCATTTGTTGCCAAGAATTCGAAGTTTGTGTGTTCTGCTCTCGTCTCCCATCCGTCTGCATAGTGCCCATCGTCGACAGAACTCCTCCTCTGCGGTTTGCCGTGTGACAGCGTCTCTCTATAGTGGCGCCTGCCACTGCCGCCTATTTTCTAGAAGGTATGTCAAATTGACATTTGATTTCAGTTGTTGTCTTCCACTTTTATTGTCTGCAGTGTATCTATGTTAGTGTTGATTTAGGGATCATTCATTCCTATGGCTGTAATTAATTGTGTTTTCTAATTTATAATTTAGGGATTTAGGAATTCAGGGCTTTCTGATTTACAGCTTTATGATTTAGAGAAATTGACCTTGTTAAAACCTACTTCGAAGTCATTGAATAATGAAGTGACACCCATTTGGCAAAATACAGGGGGAGAATTCGAAGAAAGATTGAAGGCTGTTCTAAAGGAAGTTCAAGAAGCTAAAGGAAAAGTTACCTTATTTATTAATGAAATTCATTTTGTTTTGGGTGTTGGGCGCACTGAGGGATCAATGGATGCTGCCAATCTCTTTAAGCCTATGCTTGCAAGAGGACAATTGCGTTGTGTCGGAGCCACAACTCTTGAGGAGTAGAGGAAATATGTGGGGAAAGATGCTGCATTTGAGAGGCGTTT